CAAATTTGGCTGGTTAGTTTTCGAAAAAAAAAAATCCAAAAAGCGATCAAAAATTTTGTCGTTTCTAAAATTCATAAAGTTTTCTCTACCAAAGTATGGGAATAGCCTCTTAGAAAGGGAAGATTGCCACAAAGTGTTTTTTTTTCAATTGAAGTTTCAATATCAAGCTTAGCTAATATTTTTCGAGACTAGTAGTTTTTGAGAATAGTTTTCGAGGATAGTGAAGAAATTTCTAAAACGGTCTATACCGTACGAAGTCTGAGCAGTTTACGCAGTGACCATCAATTTCAGAATTAGAGGTTTAGCTTTTAAGAAAAAAAAGTTTCCAAAAACGGGAGAGATTTTGAAAATTGGACATTTTCTAAGGCCATATTTTTTCAAAGGAAGGGCATAGCCGCTTGTACGGAGAAGATTTGCTTTGCTGTTTTTTTTTCGGTTGAACCCCTGAATCTCAGATGTGGCATGGTAGTTTTTGAGAAAATCAAAAGTTTTTAAAAAACGGTCGAAAGTTCAAAAAAAACGAAAAACTCGAATGTCAAGTTTTTATGAAAAAACGGGCGTAGCCATTGATGTAAGGAAAAATTTTACCACTTGTTTTTGCAATTGATCCCCTGGTCTCAGATTTGGCAGGAAACGTTCGAGAAAATTTAAAAAGTTTAAAAAGTTAACTAATATGTCAAAAATTGGGCTTTTTGAGGCCATAACTTTTTTTAAACCAATTTTAGGGAAAATCCGCAATCCGGTTATGAAGGAGAATTATCAATAATTATCATTAATCTCAGGTATCTCAGGCAGTTAATATTTGAGAAAATTGAAAAAAAAAATCGAAAAAAAATAGGTCAAAAACCCCGCGACTGAAACTTTTGGGGCCGTAGAACATGGAGTAAATTAAAAAGAGACTAGCTAAATACAAAGGCACTTTGGAGACTAGCCGGTTTTCTCATTGGTACCACTTTATTGAAAAAGGTCAGTGTAGTTTTCGAGAAAAACTGAAGTGTTTGAAAAAATAGCAAAAAAACTTGTTTTTTTTTCAAAAAAAAACATTTTCAAAAAACTTGTTTTTTTTTCAACAGGAAATCACACTAGCCAAAAATAAAGCAGCAACATATGCTGATATATTGCCGATGCTTAAATAGGCTTAAAAATGATGAAATTGAAATATACAAAAAGTACCACCAAATGTGCACTTTTATTTGCGACTTAGGTTCTTCGTAATAATACACTACGCTAAGCTTGTGTAAATAAAGTCTCAACTTACTGACATTTAACCAAATATTAACCAAACTAATAAAAAGTATTTTTAATGCGCCTTAATATTATTTATAATTACTTACCTGTAATTAAGGCTCGGCCCGCATATCGGATACTGAGCTGTCCGTTCTCACTTGAAGTTCTGACCTTCAGTTTGTACACTGTTGCAAACTTTGCTAATTTCAGCTCAGCAGTCAGTTCAGCTGAGGTCAAATTAAGAGAATTTGAAGGAGAATCGTCATCTAGAACATTCTGTTCTGAGTGAATTTCTGCTCCTTCCGAATCCAGTTCGTAGATTTCAATGTGGAATCCGCTGAACATCCCGGATTCTGGGGGCTCAAAACTGATGCTGATTGAGCGAAGGTCAGGCAAAACTTTGACTGATAGGTTTCGCGGTTCCATTGCAGCTGCAAAAAAATGACTTGAAGGCATATGTGAGCAGGGAATTTTGTTTAGAAATTAACGGAACCTTTAACTATCAGGGTTCATATTTAAGTCAAGGAATACCGATCAAGACTTTGATAAACTCAAAGCAACTTCGGTGCGCTCTTTTTTTCCACTATTAGAGTAGAACTTGGAAAGAAGTGTTAGAAAAAATTGTTTCCTGTTCTTCGGAGCAAATACAGGTGGTATTTTAAATCAAAGGACCATCCCTTTCCGCTCGCATTGAGCTTTGAATACGAGACAACAGTTTTGCTTGGATATGCAGCTATGAAATATCAGCAATCGATTACTTTCCCAAAGGATAGTTTTCACCCAAAAAATTCTGACTAGTAGAAGTGGGATCTTTGCACCTAAAATGGAGGTATGTGTTGTTATTGTTTAGAAACTGAACAATATTTTTGAGCCAATTGGTGCTTCATGAGCGAAAAGGATAAAAAAAACAATGGGGCGAAATTCTGTTCAGACTTTGCTGGCGACTTTAGTTATAGTCTTTGCGTGTGACGAGGTTCAGACTAAGGTTTCCGAATATGTTAAGATTTGGCTTGTGATTATATTAAGTTCAGATTTATATGCAAATATAATCAGACTTTGTTTGCGACTTTACTTGGACTTTGTTTCGAGCCCTCTTTTAATATGCACCAGGCAAGGTAGACTCCTCGTAAATCAGAGCAAAACACTTAATGTTCCTACGGCCAGTTTAACGGGTCTCAAACAGTTTTGTTATACAAAGTTTATAGAGCCTAAAATTTAAAGACTGCCGATTTCAATTTGACGTGTTAAAACTTACCTAGGATCTAATTAACAATGCAAGAAAAATGGGAGTAATTGTGAAGTAGACTAAGTTAGTCTAATTTTCCATCAATCAAAATGCAGAAAAAATCAAATTATAAAAAGAACGCTCTAATTTACTGCTTTGAGTGGCAATCTTAAAGTAAATACCACAGGAGGAGTGTGGGGGAGTTTTTAAATAGATCAAAAATTGCGTAGTATGGGCCAATAAAATGACCAATTAGCTTAGCTAACTTCAATTTGCAAAGCTAATTTGCACATTTGAGGGCGAAAAAGTTCACTAAGCAAAAAACATTTTGCGTATTAACCAAAATTGTTACAGCGCTTAAATTTCCAGAACAACTTCAAATTGGCAATTTTTAAATACCCAGAACTTGCAGGTAAAATAAGTTTTACAGTCAAACTTTTTTGTTGATGACAGATTAATTTGTCAAAAAATATCAAACCGTAGCTAAGACGTTCTGACACATCGTTCGAAAGTCAGAACAATAATGACTGTTTGCGTAATAATGATTGTTTGCAGGCATCAAGAAGAATTGATGTCTTCGTCAGTAGTTGCAATATGACGTGAGATCCATGCTCTAAGAAGTTCTAAATGGTATCGTGTAGTGAGTATGTTAACTGAAATTTTTCCTTCGCAAGAAGTAGAAGTAGCAACTTTTTGATTTCAACGAGAAATTGAACGGGCATTTTTGTCACATTTCATTCGTTTTCTCTGCAACGATTCAAGAAACAGGATTCGAATTTTTACAAAAAAAAAGATGAAATAATTTGAAAAAATTAATCGATTAACTCTGTTAATTCTGTTATTTGCCAATTTATAGGCAACATAATGAGTGAGTGAATCTCATCAGCTTCCCAAAGAACTGACTTGAGCACATTAATTCGAATTCCTCATATTGCTTGTGAGGTTGCTTCCACAGCAAGAGCACCTGTGAAATTAGTTATGATAAGCTGGCTAAGTTACGCCTTCAAAACAAGACTCTTCTTTTTTCGCGCGGTTTAGCCATTTTAAAAGAAAAAAAAAGATCAATTTCTCGATGAAATCAAAAGCTGGATTTTCTATGCCCCGTGACTGTTCAATTTTATGGTACCCAAATGCAAATTAGAGATCGCAGCATTGTGCTTTATCGCGGATCTTATTCGAAGTTGGACAGTTGGCATATATTACAAAAAAAAGATAAGAAACGTATAATTGGGTACAATATAACATGTCGAGTTTTGTTTTCAGTCGATAGATTGTGGCGATTCGCGATACTTGAAAGGGGGGGGCTGACGTTTTCCCCCTTCAGAGATTCGACCCCCTGCCGACCCAAAGGGCCCCCCTTTGGTACTTTTTAAGAAATCCATTTTTGGAAGACTGACCCTAAAATTTTTCTAAAGGCGCCTAAAGGTGCCAATATATACTAATTTTGAAGGGGAGCGCGCGACAAAAAACGCAATTTTTTTGTCAACAATTTTCAAAAAGTGCCTAAAAACGCCTTTTTTGGACTGTTTTTTTTCAAAATTTCGCCTGCGGCGCAGAAAAATTGGCCAAAACAGGGACTAAAACGTGCTTAGGTAGAGCTCGAAAAATGGTCGACCTAAATTCGACCAAATTTGGTCGACAAAATTTTCAATTTTTTTTTGAAAATCCGCCCTCCCCCTCAATCCGCCCCTGGCGATATATCGTATATGCGATTAACGATTCCCCAATCCTGGCAATAATTGAAATTATTTGTAAAAAAAACAATACAAAATATTTATTTTTCAGTACGATAGCATTACAGTATATTTTTACATCATTGTATGATACTGCAATTGTCGGTAAATCAGACCATGTTTAAAAACTATATTTGGACTTCATCACCTCCTTTTACTTCATTTGAACCACTGGAATTTCAACGAAGTGAAGGAGCAAAGTTAACAGAGAAAAGCGTATATCGATGAATTTCTCACTTTAATGGAAGAATGATTTTTCACTAAACCTGTTTCAATTTGATTTTCTGTAAGGTTAAAAGTTGACTTATGAGTTTTAGCTGCAAACTTTAAGAATAACTCTGTCTAATTGATTAGTTTCAATGTGAGGTAAGACGCTGTCAACGACAGGTAGGAGCTAAAGCGAAGAATCAATGAACTGTTTGTCCGTTTTTGTTCAGAAAAGTTGTAGTTTGGAACGCATTAACATAAAAGAGAACAAAATAAGCGTTTTTGGGTTGCATGAAAACCAGCTGTATTTAAAAAGGAGAAACAGTTAGAAAAATAGGAATTCTTACTCTATTTTGGAATATTTGACCGTCTACAAAATGTTGATCCAACAATGAGCTAAACACCGCCAACAGACAATTGGAAAAGCGTCAATGAACGCAGTGAGACAAAGGAACTGACTCAATTTTGAGCAAAGAATCAACTTTTGATTTTCAAAATTAAAGAATATTTTTGGATACTCTTTCACATTTGGGAACAAATCGTGATTGACACTTCTATTTACTAAAATTCGAAAAAAAAACTGGTTTTATAAGTAAATTTTTTCATTCCGCTGGGACATTTGAAGTCCACTTTCGAAACTAAAAATAGTACAGGTTTTTAGTTTCAAACGTGGACTTCAAATGTCCCTGCGGAATGAAAAATTCACTTATAAATCCATTTTTTTCCTTTTTTAGTAAATTTTATCAAAAAAGTGTCAATCACAATTTGTTCCTAAATGTCAAAGAGTATCCAAAAATATTCTTTTTTTTGAAACTCAAAAGTTGAAATTTTCTTAATATTGAGTCAGTTCTTTCGTCTCATTGTGTTCATTGACGCTTTTCCAATTGTCTGTTGACTGTGTTTGGCTGTCCCCTAATTTTCCCCTAAATTTTCCCCTAACTTTTAGCAGCTGAAATTGAATTGGAGTCAAAAAGCGTATATCATAAAATGGTTTCATAAAAGGATTAATATTTTTGAACGCACCTCTGTAGTTATTAGAGCATTTGAAAATTTTTCCTGAAAAAAAGTCACAATACTCAAAAAAGAGTATGCACTAAAAACATGACTTTTGGAAACCTTTTGAAAACTTTTTGACTTCAAACTTCTTATACATGTAGCTCAAACAAAGAAGAAATTTTTTGGTTTCGTCTTCTTATTTCTTCAAACTTTTCTTCCTAAAAATTATTCAAATAAAAAAACTCTGCTGAAGTTGTAAAAAATTTAACTTGATTTTATTTGCAATGCAATAAATCAAAATAGCATACTGATAAATGAGTTAAATGTAATGCTTTAAAGTTGGTAATAACAGTTTTTATCCAAAAATTTTCTTGTTTTATATACAATTGAAAAAAAATTATAACATTTTTTATTAGGTCGGTGTGTTCCAAGAAATTAAGTTTTTGGTCAACGATTATTTCTAATAAAATGAATTTTTTTTGAGAAAAAAATTGTTCCATTTAAATTGCGGGAATGTTTTTTCACAGCTTGTAACAATAAACTGAGATTTCCCGGTATTCAGTGTCATATAATTCGCTGCCATCCTTTTTTATATTTCTGTAAGGTTGCTTTCAATGTGTTCAAAGTTTTTCGATTCGAAGGTCTTTATCATCAGTGAGCAAAAAACTTTTAGAGTTTTTGATTTCTTCAGGAAGATTAATTGTATAGAGCAGGAAGAGAAATGGGACAAATAATGACGCTTGGAGAACTCTAGTTTCAACTGGTTTTATATTTGACCGAACGCCTTGATGGCAAACAAGCTGAGTTATATCAGAAAGATGCAACTTGAACAGTGAGAAAAAGAGCCACTTAAGTCATAAATTTGGCTTTTTGTAGGTAGAATGGAATGATCAATTGTAACAAAGGCTTTGAACAGATCTGAAATCATAAATTATACAGATTTTTTGTGTTTGCCCTCTAAAATAGTTTTAGGGGATCCACTATGCTATCAATCGTGGACCTTTTGCTCTCGTAACCAAATTTTTTGGCCATTTTTTTGGAAAAAACTTCACTAAGCGTTCGTTTTTAAACATTTTCTCGAAAAGTTTACCAAAAGTTTGAAAAGGAAAAATTGATCAATATTTGCTATACAATAAGTTGAATGCCATTTTTATGTACAACAAACTGTAGCAACTTTCTGACAAATTGGATGAAAAATGGAAGATATAATTAAGAATTGGGAACACTTCTGGAAAATAGTGAAAACAAAAAACCTTGAATCTGAGACTGTTATAATTTTTTGAAAATATAAAAATGCATTTCTAAACCACTTTTAGACCAATTGACCCAAAAACTGAAATCTGCAGCAACCAATTTTCTTTTCATCTGTTGGTAATAAATTGTTTTCGAAAATCTGAAAGATGTGTCATGTTTTGTTGATAAAAGTTTTCAAAACAATTTCTCAGAAATCAGCATCAAATCTCATCATCCTGATTGATTTTTATTTGGTATTTTTAGCAGTTTAAGGTCCGGACGGTCAAAAATAAAAAAAACGAAAAAGATGATATTGAGAAATTTTTATGGTAAAAAAATAATTAATTTTGGTTTAATTTGAAGAGAGACTTTAATAGGAAAATTTTGTTGATTATTCAGTGGGAGAACATTTTTTGTATGATATCATCTCAACATAACCAGTACATCATATTTTGCGGTCAAGATAATTACTTGCCGAACTAAATCCTTATCAAAAACAGATTGATTTAAGGTTTATAAATAAAGTTAAAACACCAAACAGTTTTCGAACAGAAAAATTAGGCAACCTAATCGACTTTTCAAGTTCTAACTTATCCGTTTCGGTTCAATTATTATTTCTAAAAATTACGTTCCTGTGCAAATATTGTCAATCATCACTTTCGGTTATGGATTTAGAGTATTTTAGTTAGAACTAAAATCAAAATCTACTACAAGCTAGCTGGAGTTTTGCCTTGCGAAATATCAGACTAGTACCCAGGGGCGGATTAAGGGGGAGGGCGTGGGGGGCTATTGCTTTTTCCTCGGGGATTCGACCCCCTGCCAACCCAAAGGGTCCCCCCCGTTTGGCACTTTTTTAAGAAATCCTTTTTTAGTGACGGACACTTAAATTTTTGGCGCCAATAAACACTAACTGTGAGGGGGAGCGCGCGCCAAAAAAAACGCTATTTGTGAACATTTTCCAAAAAGTGCCCAAAAACGGTTGACCTGCGGCGCAGAAATTTTGACCAAAACAGTCTTTGTAGTGCTTTAGGAGAGCTCCGAAAATCAATTTAGCCGACCTAAAAAAAAGTTGTCAAAGGCGTGTACATATGTTACCAATTTTGGGAGCAAAGTTATTATTATTATTGAGTTTTCCGGATTGTAGCTGCAAGTCATTCAATTAATTCATTAATTAAATGCGGTCTCAGGCCGTTAAATCGACCCCTGAGTTTGTATAAGAAAACATCGTGGGTTATAAGTCTTGCCTGAGTCTTGTCTGACTGAAACCGGGGTTGACCTCACTTGACATGGTGGATCTGAGATAGCGAAGATTGAGACAGTGTACTCTCTTCCAGGTACCAGGTCAGTCACGACGTATCGCAAATAGTCGTTACTGAAAATATAGTTGAAAAAATGTATAAATCAAAATGTCAGAATTATTCTTGATCTTGGATAAATGTAGAGACCCTTTCACGATATGGAAAGAACTATGACCAAGGTGAATTTTTTCCCCGCTATTTTATGTAAACCAAAAACTGTGAACTGAGCTTTGCACAAGTATATACTAAGAATTAAGGCTCTTTTGTCAAAGATACAGTTCAGTTGAACATTTTGGTGACATACTACACCAAGGAATTGAAAATGACTCACATTTTCTCAGAAGCTATCAGATTTGCCTGAGACGTGACCTCAACTAGGAAGTGGTCAAAGTATCCGACCGAAGGGGGGAACCAGGCAAGACTGAGGGAAGTCTCTCCCACCAAGTAAATGTACAGAGCCTCCACTGGATTCGGCACTAAGAACAGAAAGAATACTTTTAAACACGAGAAAAATTTTTTCTAAAAAATATTTTATCAAACAATATGATGAACTTAATTAGGACCGAGCCGTGAATTGGGAACAAAAATAAGAGGACAGAAAACGACATCACTGTTGCAGCTACTGTAATATCTAATTTTTTCTATGACTTTTATGTGGATGTTGAACGCAATTTTACACGCTTTAACAAAATCATAGCTCTGAGTTGAATATCAGTGATTAAGAAAAATAATTTTCACCTTTCATTCAGAATCCGTGCATGATGATGAGATTTCAACTCCCAACCTTGCTTTGAACATGTTTATACCTTACTTCAGCTATCATTACGTATTGGACAGCTGTGAATAGATTCGGTTTTAGGCTGTTCAAAAAATGGGAAAAACGAACATACTTTTTTTTCCAATTTTGCTATGAGTAACATAGATTAAACATTCCCTGCTGAAAAGATTTAACCACTGTTTGAAGTTGACTCTTTTATTTTCAAGTGACACATTGTTCAGTTACTGCTATGAACTTATGTAACTTTGTTTTCTCAATTGAGTTGTTCCTCGCCTTCGCAGTGAGAGAGGACGGTGTGTTCGGATTCGGAGGGTCCAGTTCGGGTGAATATGTCCACTTCGCACCTCAGACCTGGCTCTCGTCTCTCGGGTGCGACCACTTCCGAGTCGAATCCAATCTCCCCGCCCGAGTCGGATGTGGAGGCACAAACAGCAGTTCTGCACTCAGTCGAGGTCATGTTCTTCACCACGTCTTCCTTCTCTTTGATCATCAGTTTGAAACCATCTCCTGCACAAAATTTTAAATGCATTTAATTGAAGAAACGTCAGATTGTTCAAAAAGTACCAAACAACACGCCCAATTAAGTCCAGGTTTCAGTAGAAGGAAATTTACTCATTATGTTTCTTTGAAAGAACTCCACCCGATAATTTTGAAGAGGAACTAAAAAATATCATCAATTTAACTAGGTTTGCCAAAAATCTACTAAGTAATTACAGATACGTCGATATCCCAACGCGAATTTGAGAGATTCCAAAAAAGTAGCGCAATTCAAAAACAAAATTTCCAAAAAACCAACAGTTTAAAATGAAAAAACTTCTAACTGTCGGTGACAGTGACGTTTGGAACTGTGCAGGTGACGAAGACATCGATGAACTCCGCGGCTGTGAACTGACTCAGAGAGGCACTGATGTGCACTCCCCCTCCACCCTCTTCGGGGTCAATAACAAAGGTCAAATTGCTCGTCAACTCGTTCAGAGGCTGCGGTACTGCAATAAAAAAATATGGAATAAAAAAACTAACCCCTTCACGGCTAACAGTTGCGTGTCTGAACCCAAACTCTTCCAAAATTCACACAAACACTTTCACAGCGTTAATTTTAAGATCATGAAAAATTTCATTCAGCAGATGAACCTTTAATTGAAGCAGTTAAAAGTAAGTCTCAACAAAATCCAGCTTGAAGTCGAAAAAAAAATGACCATTCAAATCATTTTCAAAGCCATAAGCTTTCGTAATTTCCCTTGCTCACAACTCGGTGGAATTTTTTTAAGAAGGATGCGAGACGAATTGGAGAAAAAATGAGTTTGTTACCGATTGGTGCACAGCTAGCTAGAGTCCGATTACGTATCGTTTCGTTAGTGCACGCATCAATCGGAGACACTTGGAAGCAGAAGACGATGCCAGAGTTCAGTTGGTCCACCTTCAGCTGGTTAGAGACATTCACCCTTGTGGTAGACTCCTTGGCCGCTATTTCAGTCGGGGTAAATAATAATGACACGTAGTCGGCCTCTTCGATGTGAGCTGTCAGTTCCAGCTGGTCGGTTGAGCAGTCCTGAGTCGGGTCTTGAGAGCCAGAGTCTATGTCGACAATCAAAGTAGCCGACAGAGATGTGATGTCTGTAGCTGCCAGGTTCTCATCCGAGTTTGCTGAAAAACGTTAAGTTCCAATTACTTGAAATCGGAGAGCATAGAGGCACTATGAGCCAAGTGCCGATTTATGGGGGGACGCCCCTTTTCCCTCAGGGATTCGACCCCCTGTCGACCCAAAGGGAGCCCCTTTGTACTATTTTGAGATAAAATATTTTGAGATAAATTTTTGGTTGACGGACCCTAAAAAATTTCTAAAAGGTGCCTTTGGCGCCAATATATACTAATTTTGAGGGGGGGGGGGGGGGGAGCGCGGGCAGAGAAAACGCTATTTTTTGGTCAAAATTTTCCAAAAAGTGCCTAAATTAGCCTTTTTTTGCCTGTTTTTTCTTTCAAAATGAGCCTGCGGGGTCGATAAAAATTTTCGAAAATTTTTTGAAAATCTGCCCCCTTGTGAAATCCTAGCTCCGCCCCTGCTATGAGTGCTTAAAGTTTGGATGATTGTTAGAAGTTTCAAAATGTTACCCTCAAGAGCAGTGTCAAGTAAAAAAAAAGATTTATTTTGTGTAAGAAAAATTAACAACCTTTGGATCAATTGGCATGTCATTATTCAATTTGGAATAATTTCTTAGTTGGATCAGCGAAATTGAACGAGCAGCACACTTTATAAATTTGTTTCCAAAATACTCTTTTTGATTGAAAAACCAACCAGTCAATAAAACGATTTGTAAAAAAAGATGAAAAAAAAATGAATTTAATTCAATATAAATAGATTCAAATCGCTTTGAAAACTCTCAAAAACAAAGCTATATAAAATCAAAATCATGATTTTATATCTATTTAGAATCAATTTGAATGGAGTTTTTTTCTGGAATATATGTCAATATAAATCAGTTTAAAAGTAATCCGAATCCTTCTAAATTTACATCTATTGTTTTACGTGATGTTTTGATACTGAAATTGATCTAAAACCATTTTTGCAAATGCGGGCAGGCGAATCACTTTATAAAGAGAAGTCGGGCATGATATGAGAAATATATCCATCACATAATTCAGAAAGGTGATAATCTCACAAAAACCATAAACTTGGAGGAACCATTTTTCCTTGTTTACTTTTTCATATCAGAACACTAAATTGATTCAACTCGTTATCTTTGATATATAAAAATGTAGCCATCACGGGTGGAAATGAGTCGGTAAACGCAGGGAAACATAAGAAAAACTAACTTGATTCTGAAACAACTCAATTTAACAATACAAAGTATAAAATATATGGCTTTATAGCTCTTTGGATTTCTTTCCATTTTTTCTAATTGAAATTTATAAAAAAATTAACTCAATGTGGGAAAACTAGATCGAAAAGTTGTTTTTTTTCCACTGCGAAATATGAAAATTAAATTCCACTTTAGAAACTAGAAGTCGATCACATTTTTTGTGACCTATATATTTTCGTAATTGGAGAGCGCAAATTATTTAACTTTTAGCAGATGAAACTGAATTGAAGTCAAATAGCGCATGTATACCTAGAAGCATTTATAATTTAATTAATATGTATGGATGCACTTTTATAAAGTATAAGAACATTTCAAGATTTTGTCTGAAAAAAAAACATAACGACCCATATAAGAGTCTGAACCAGTAGCGGATTTGGGAGGGGGCGGATACCCCTCCCTCAGGGATTCGACCCCCTGATGACCCAAAGGGTCCCCGCTTTGTATTAATTTTAGATATCCTTTTTTGGCTGACTGAATTTAAAGTTCTCCTAAAAGCTCCTCTGGCTCCAATCTATACTAATTCTGAGGGAGGAGCGCACGCAGAAAAAACGCAATATTTTGGTCGAAATTTTCCAAAAAGTGCCTGGAAACGCCTTTTTTTCAAACATTTAGGGTCTTTATAGTGGTCTGGGAGAGCTCAGAAAATCAATTTGGTCCGACATAAAAAAAGGTTTTTTGAAAATCCAACCCATCTCGAGAAATTCCTAGATTCGCGCCTTGTCTGAACTACGTTAAGAAAGAGCCTAATTTGAAAAACTGGATCAATAGTTATTTTAGCAATAGTTACAAAATAGCTCTCGAAATTCGAGAAAATACAAAAAAACACCCGCTTTTGAAAAAAAATCTTTAGACTATAAAGGGAATTTGAATCCCGGAACCTCTGGCAAACAATAACGCGTTTTTTAGTAAATGCCAGATAGCAAGAAAAGCAAAAAGCTAAAGGTCATATATCTCAATTTGAACTGGAACTAATAAAGGCCAACTTGGTTGAAAACGTAAGCTTATTTTGAAGCAAAACAGTTGCTTGTGTAAGAACGAGGAAAATCGATTTTTTTTCATGATCTTCTTACTTCTTAAATTATAAATTAGTTAGTATATATCTTACTCATATTGAACACCAGAATCTGTGGTCCGATCCTCCTCAGGAAGCTGTTCATGTACACTTGCACCTCATAGTTCACACCAGCAGTCAGGTTGGTAGCGTTGTATTCTGCAACGAAAAAAAAGTTCTGTGATTTTCTGAAGCATAAGCATCAACCCTTTAGAATGTGAATGTGAATGGGTAATGGAGAGGGTAATATGCACTAAATATGACAGACAGCGGCAGCGTACGCTGAAAAAACTTATGATCTTTTACACAAAACTGCTCAAAAACGCTATTCTTACACAAATAGCCTATAAAGCGCAGAAAAAGTTCATCAAAACTCTCATTCCACAGACCCGCACGACTCCAAAGTTCGAATTGGTTGACCTAAATTCTTCGCAGTCAAAAAATTCTGCCTGCTCAACTGAGTCGGTCAAATATATTTTCCATGCTTTTGCAATAGCAGCCATTTTATCCAACTTTGCCTGTAGGTATTTTTCAACTAAAAAACGGGATTTTTGAATTTTTGCTCTCATCAAAGTAAAAAAAACTGACTGAACAGAGAAATTTTGATAATAGATTTCTGATATTCTCTTATAGTGTAGTATTGCGAAATACTACACACACACAAAAGACCATTGTCTTAATTGTTTATTTAACAACCCAATTCTAAATTGGAGCGTGCCATTTAATTAAAGCCTCTTTTCACTAAATCAGATATTGACTGATTTACTCTTATTAGGACTATAAAATCTTGTTTTGAAAATCCACTCCTTTTTAAATACTTGTCCAATTTTTATGATTTTTCCATGCTCAATATTTTAAAAGGGCGGCGATTATTAATACGTCCCTTTTAACTTAACTTGAAACAAACTGGATAAATATTTAGCAGTCTTGCCGGCTGCACTGAAATTCTCCTTGCTTTGATTAAGCAGAGGTGCACCTGCAATATGATGCATCAGAGAGAGTAATATGAATTTTTAATAAGACAAACTGAAGACTGCGGTTTTTATCAAAGGGGACTAATAAGTTGAAGATATTTGATTTGAAAAAATCAAATAAAATCTAGTTGAAAAATCCCTTATTAGAAAGGGAGAACAAAGGAGCAGGTGAAACCTGAATAATTAAAGATTGAATCAGCCGCCGGTTTATGCTTATGAGCAAAAGGACTGGCCTGAAATCTTCAGTGTTTCATTTTGCTCAGTCAGCAGCAAGTCATTTCTCTTCAGTCAAATCCTTTAAAAATAAATAATTCTTCTTTTCTGCCCTAACACTAAAATTAATCTAGCCCTTTTCATTTATAAAAAGAGAATAAATTCTCAGTTTAAGTTTGATTTGAAAAATTATAAATCGAGATACTCGAGATACGCACCCCCGAGGAAGTCTGGACTACAAGTACCCAAGGGACTACGGCAAGACAATTCAGACGACCCAACCAGAAGTGCTGACTTGGACAAACATCAAGGGCAACCATACATACTAATCAGCCACCGACCCTAGTAAGAAGATAAAATATTGATGAACGAAATAAGATTAGCTCAACCTCCCCTCATAGGTATATTTCTTTAAGCTGTTCGATTCATTTATATAATCTAATAACCCAGTGCTCTGTATCTAACCAACTAAATAATTCATACCTTTTCTAACTATTGTTTCTACTCTACTTTTTGTCAAGACAATTTGACGATCTAAGGTGAGACTTATAATTTAGGATAAAATTACTAAGCATTCAACCAGCAATGAGCGCTTAGTAAAACTGATGCGACCGCAGCAGAGAACTACAGAAATTCTTTTTCCAACAAACTAGAAACTGCTTTTAAAATTCAAAAAATATATTATTACTAGGATCTGTGAGTATTTGTCAGATTAGTTTTCAATCTCAAAAAGCCAGAGACAATGGGTATCTTTCGATAGAAACACAATTTCATTGTCTTCTACTTGACAGGTATTCCTGGTAGGGTTCTTGCGAAATGCATCCCCTGCGCTAACAGTCGCCCACGATATCCCTCCATCTCGAGGTCTATTGGACGGCTTTCTAACTGACATTAGCTCATGAACTTAACTATTATCTATTATTATAATAATATATAAAATTTCTGAAAGAATCGTTCTCTGCCTAAGTCCGCTAGTAAGATATACCCCTTTTGTCCAGTAATCCACTAAAGTTTTGCCGAAACTTCAGTTTAAAGTTATCATCACTAAAATTAACGAAATTCTGTATTAAACTAAAGTGCTCAAAAACTTATTAAATATCTTCATTTACTTTTTCGAGGGGGTTAAGTGGTCATATGTGCAATCTAAGAGTACCCTTAATTGTATGATAAATTGAATTCTTCATCACATTATCTCAAACCATCCACGCTTGTTGCTATTTATCCTAATCCTTCATCAATTCTCGAGGCTTATCCTCAAATTTTCTTAAACTCATTTTAATTCTAACCACCTTAACGTAACTTAAACCTAAATCATCCATCAGTAAAGCTACCAATTACTGAAACTAAGGAAGAAAATAACAAAAACCAAAAAGGAGGGAACGGATTTGAGTGTTTTTTGATAAATCATTAGTTTTTTTTGACACAGTTTAAATATACACCTAATTAACAGTAAGATTACGCACTAAAACCAACCTTAAACGTTAACCACATAACATCAAACACCAAGTTTTAGTTTTAGCACAAAAATATCAGGTTTCACAACAAAAACTCAGTTTAAAACACTGACACATCCACTTTATATTGATAAAATAGGTTTCATATGATAGCATAAGCACTAAAAAATTGATTTTTACCAGCCAAAATTTTTGGTTTCAGTCTAGGTTTCAGTTATAGGTTCAAACGTTTCAGTTAAAATAAGTATAGTTTCCGGTCAAAATTTTAAGTTTCTGTAAACGGATTCGGGTAAAACAGCAAAAGTTGAACTAGTCAAACCCAAATTTGGATACCATAAGTCAAAAACCTGGTCTTAAATGGTACGTTTTTGTTAGTTTCAGGTTTCAGAACACAAAAATTGAGTTTTTGGTCTCAAAATTGAGCTCCGAACGCCGAATTTCGACTTTCTAGAGAAAACTAACGGTGTTAAAACCCACCAAACCAATTTTAAATTTTGGTTCCTAAGGCTGAAATGTACGTTTCAGAATTGGTGTTTTTGGTTTCAGACCCAAAAATCTTGCTTCCCAAGTGAAATTTTTGTGAAATATTGAAAGATAATAGGAATCCTTAATGCACTAACAAATTTTTAAACTCAAAAAACTTCTAGAAGGTGTTAGTTTGAGCCCTCAAACTTATAGTTTCAGAAAACTAAAATCGTCGTTTTAGGCAAAAATTTTCGTCTTTTTGGCAATTTTATTGCTGGAATAGAAATATATCAGAGAGACCAACCTAAATTTTCAATCTCAAAACTCTAAAACCAAGTGGTCAAACCATAGTTTCAGTTCTAGAAATCATAGTTTCAGCCCCAAAAACTTAGGTTACCGCAAACAAATTTTTGATTTTGAAGCTACAAACCTGTTCAAAATTCCAATTTACACGAGACCAGCTATCAAAAACCAACTTTTTATTTTCATGCACCGAGTTTGAGAGAGTTTAAAAGTTTCAGGTTTGAGTTTTCAAAAACTAAGTTTAAGATATCAAAAGATTCGGTTTTCTCGAATTTTTTTGCAAGATAAAGCAAAAACCAGATATAATAAAGCGTATAGAAAGTTTTAAGATTAAAAAAACTCAACTTCAGCTACCATAGTTTCAGGTTTCAGATTATCGGTTCAGTCAAAAAATTTTCTAAAAATTTTTAACAAAAAAATTAAGTTTTGAACCAATAATAACCAATAAAGGCAAATAGTTGTATTGTTAACCATACCATAGCATCAAAAAAACTTCACTTGAACAAAGTTTCAGGTTTCAGTTAAGGTTTCAGCGAATAAAAAACTTGAAAAACTTAGAAAAAATTTTAAAAAAATTTTTTTTCAAAGAAATTTTTTTAATTTCCTTATCTTATTATTAATAACCTTTGTTAATATTCAATAATTCCTAGGAGGTTTTCATTACTCTAAGACATACTAATCAAATAGTACAACTTGGCTTAAGAAAAATAAAACAAACATCGTGAAATTAATGTCAACACATTTTAAAATTGACGTCAGTACAATAAATTTAAAGCTCAAATTAGGAAATAAAGTCTCTAACATCATATGTTATATCACTAACACTGAACAAAATCATATTAGTATATTAGCAAAACACCCTAACGAAGATAAACACGAATTATACGTCTTCTTTCGTCGATATACTCCAGAAATTGACACCATTCTTCAGCAAATAAAAATACCAAATAACATAATTTGTATGCCGGAAGAGCGATTAATTGCTTCACTCCCGATTGCTTTCTGATATCATAATATACCCAAGCACAAAACTACTTGCATTTTAATCATTTTTTATTAAAAACACAAAAATTTTCCTTAACAAAAATTAAAAATAACAACAAGTTCATAAGAAAAATTTAAATATTTTTTATATTGTTTATCATTCCCTAGATAAATATTTATGTCCCTAAAAGGATGTAAAATGCTATGACCAACTTTTATCAAGTAAACACAACAGCATTTAAATTAAAACTAAAATTAAAAAATAAATCCACAAAAATTATTTGGTATATCACCAATATCCAAAAAGATCAAATCACAATTTTATCCAAACACCCACACAAAAATATTCACGAATTAACCATTCTTTCCAGCAGCAATACCCCCGAGATAACTTCCATCTTAAAAAAGCTTAATCAGCCCCATAGCACTTTTGATCTATCTAACAAAAATTCGTATTCATTGAACTCAGCAAACTTCATTGTAACTTAAATACAATTATTTCAGTCCGAACAATTGATCAGTACACAACACATCCAAACCGTTTATATATTGTTAACAAAACATTGAGTGAATTAAACAAAGATGGCAAACGTAGTAGCATACCCAGATTTAGCTCTCGAAAAGTTTACCGGCTTAGATACGAATGAAGATGCAAGAGATTTTCTTGATATAGTAGAGAAAAAGATAGCATTTTCCCTAGGCACTAGACCAGGAGATGCAGGTGACGAACAAGACGCATATGATAACAGACAAAGAGTCTTATTTG